CTTCACTAGCATACAGGAAGCAGAATTATCATCCTTTACAACAGAGGTTCTATTGTTTTCTCTGTACCGGGCATGACTGCAGCTCTGAACCAGTAGAGATTCAGGTGTTACTCTTTTGTCCCCAGTGATATCGCCTTAAACTACTGCACTACTGGATCATCTTTGGTTAGGCAGATAGGGCAGTGGTGGTTCATGAGGTACTCCGGTGTCCCCAGTGAATCCCTGGTAGATCAGCACGGGTGAGGTCCTTCTAAGATACTAAGTAGAATCCAGCAGCAACCAGTTGTACATGGTAGGCCCCGAGGGCCAGGCCCTTCAGACCTGGGCAGGAGCCCAGCACCTAGTAGCAGGTAAAAGAACACTAAAGACTGAACTCACCAACATGCATGCTCAGGAGTTTTGTTACAGCCAAACCCAACCCACTAATAACAAGCTCATCAGTGGTCAGTTAACTAACAAAGATCAAGGCTACAGCTAACCATGTACCTGCACTTTTGGGTAAATTTTTGGTTTTGGGAGGACTAATGTCCTCCCGTGACCCAAAGCTCAGTATATAGTGGGCTACAGTAAAATATTACTTTAATCCAAGGATCAATCACAACGTCCAGCGTTGTCCACGATGACACCGACTCGTTGAAATAAAAAAAAAATGCCAACCTGTCTGCATGCGACGAACTCTTGCCACAAAATGACATTCTGACAGATGCCGGCAAAATAAAAAAACTATTGGGTGGAGCTAGCTGTGACATCACCACTAGTTCTGCCCAACTGTTTACATTTGTCTGGCACCTGTCATACGGTTCCCGCAGGTCCCGGCCAAAACAAAAAAAAATGGGCAGAGTCGGCCGTGATGTCATGGCCGGCTCCGCCCATTTTTTGTCATTTAATGACAGGCCACATTCCTTGAATGACTTGAGGACAGTGGCCTGTCATTGAATGACAACAAATGGATAGAGCCAGCCGTGATGTCACGTCCGTCTCTGCACATTTGTTATGATTTACCTGGGACATGCGGGAAGCTTATGACAGGTGCTTTTCAAATGTAAACAGTTTTTGGGGCTGGAGTTCCCCCTTAAAATTCCTACCAGACCTAAAGGGCCTGGTATGACGTTTGTGGGGAACCCCACACACTTTTTTTTTTTAAATTCGAGGGGTCCCTCCTAACCTTCCTACCACACCTAAATGGTCTGGTATGGATCGAGAGGGGGACGGCACACCATTTTTTTGTTTTGTTTACATTTGCGTTGAGAACTGTCTGCTTTGGCAGACCACTCTCCCCGCTTCGGCTGTGACTTTGCCTACGGCTGCTGTATGGGCTATTGTGAACCGAAGAGCTCCAGCGGCCGAAGTGAGCCGAAGGAGTTGCCGAAGCTACGGCTGGATCCTTCGGTTCTTTAATTAAGAACTGTGCTAGATTATTAGTGCCAGTGATTATTCTCAGTCACCTGCTGTGCTGAGTGTTCACCAGTACATTGTGCTAGAGATAATGCTTCACATTAAAGGAGAACTATGAGGTGAGTGCTTTTCACTCACCTCATAGTTCTAGCCGACCTGTAACAATGAGACTGTCACAGGTCGGCTCAGTAGATGGGGAGTTGAGCGAACACATACCAGGTTTGCTCGCCTATCGATCCTGTCACGGCTCTCTGCTGTGACAGGGTGAGGGGCTGGATTCCCCTCTCCCCGCTCCGATCTGCCAACACTGACTGGCGGAACGGACGGGGAGGGGGCGGCTACAGCTGGCTCTGCCTCTAGATAGGCAGAGCCAGCTGTCACTCACACAGCTGGGCGGATCCCGTCATCTAAGTCGGGATCCGCTCCGGCTGCAGCGTCTCAGTATACCACAAGCTGTAGCTCGCGGTATACTGAGCTTAGGGTAACGGGAGGACGCTAGTTTGTGTCCTCCCGTTATCCTAAGGAGAACTATGGGGAAAAACACTGACCCCATAGTTCTCCTTTAAGGATGTTTAATACCTGGCCAATCAGCAGGTTTGGGGAGCCTGCTGAGCATGCTGGGAGAGCTATTGAATATCTGAGGCATTTCCTGGTACAGTCTCTTCAGTCCAGGGTTTCACCCTGAGAGGATGTATCAGTGAACAACCAATCTGGGCCCCTGGCCTGAAGGCCTAGGGTATGGAATGCTGTGGGGATCTCCTGTCATGGTAGGTGTTCCTAAGATGCTGGATGTGATGGATTGTTAATAGGCCTTGAGGAAGCAAATCTGCTGTTGTCCATCCTCCACAGGGATGGTGAGTGACTGACTGAGCTGGGAAGCACCACATGAAGCAAATCTGCAGTTGTCCCCCACAGGGATGGTGACTGACCGACTGAGCTGGGAAGCACCACATGAACCTTCCCACTGCTGTCCTGCCTTGATCTAAAGACTGAGCATACACCAGAACCTCAGTTCTACAAGGAGCCATTTATATTGAGATGTATTCCACCAGCAGAGTTCTGTCAAAGAAGGATCTAGATAGCTAGAAGACCAAAGACTGTAATTCAAATGTAATTGTTCAGGTATCCTGTGCTCCCTCCATCCTCCTTCCTTATTCTTCATGCACATTAAATATCCTAAAGCATATTTAAAGTGACTGGCACCCAATAATTCAACACCACAGGAAAAGAACTTCACCCTGAGAAAGAATGTGCCTGGGGCACTTATCACCAAGTAAGTGGGACTAGGACAATTGTGATGTAACTGTTGGCTATCGGAGAGGCTATCTGTGCCAAAGCTGGTTACCAATAGCGCTTCACAAGCTTCAAGAAACACAGTGGGTTCAGCAGCTAGTGTATTGACACATTACACAAACACGTGCAAAAGCAACAAGTACACTAGCCCTTTTAAACAGAGGCTGAAAGTTAATTGTCTGCAAGTGTTGTGACCTGCAATTAGCTGGAAGCGGAGCACCTCAGTGAGAAGTAAAAAACAGGGCCTGGATTAATGCTTAGGAAAAACTCCTTTTCACCTCATCACCTCTTCAAGGCCAATGTCTGTCCTAGCAGCCTTATTTTGCAGGAATCAAGTAAAAAGTACTGCACTTGGACCAATTCATTAAAGATTCTGAACAGACACCAAACTCTTTAATAAATGACAGTAATGCAGGAAGGGACTTTATGGAATACATTAATTAAACCAAAGTCTCATTATCATAAAGGCATGTCTTGTCTTATTCAGTAAACTAAACAAGAGAGAAATAACATGTTGTAGTTGTCTTAGTCAAGTAAGCTGAAATCTAAGTGCTTATTATTGGTTGCTATACTTTGCATATTGCCATTGGCGTTGTTGCACCAAATACATCTATATGTTACTGCATTAATAGCCTTAATTTATTGTGTGTGATTATGAAACAGCTTAATAAATTTTGCATGTGCGCACAGGGGAGGACATTAATTGTTTTCAAGTAGTATATAATTATACATATACAGTATGTATCATATGTAATCGTATGCTTTTGGCTTCTTATTTAATACAGGGTCCCCAAATGTTTTATAAAAATGACCAGTTTACTGTATATCATGCTGTTTGGGGGCTAGACTGTGGTCAGTAAGAGTTAAAAAAAAGCCCCAGCTTCAGAGGTCAGCAGAGTAAAAAAATCTTCTACATGATCAGTTGGAGTAAAAAATGCCTGTATGTTGGTGGTCAGTAGGAGTACTAAATGCCCCTTTTCCAGTGGTCAGTAGTAATATTAAATGCCCCTATGTCAGTGGTCAGTAGTAAAATTAAATGTCCCTATGTCAGTGGTCAGTAGTAACATTAAATGCCCCTATGTCAGTGGTCAGTAGTAATATTAAATGCCCCTGGCCAGTAGAAGTAATAAACTCCCCCCCCACCCCAGGCACTGGTGTCAGTGTGAGTAATAAAATACACCCCCAGCCATTGGTGTTAGTGGGAGTAAACAAAGATGCTCCCACATGCATTGGTGTTAGTGGGATAGTAAAAGAATCCCCCCACACACGCAGCAGCAATGGTGTTCAGTGCTAGCTTACCTCCTTGGAGGTTCCATGTGTAACAACGCTTCATGTGACATCACAGCCTGGTCTATACAGGCACCATTGAGCAGGAGATTACTCTGGTAATAGACTGCTGTGTGCTGTCACCAGCTGCCACTCTGCATAGTCACTTTCCTGGAGTGCAATCAGAAAGCCCTCATTGCATGGGTCAGATTACAGAAGGTTGTAGTTTGGGGTCTGCTGGTCCAATACATTAATAAGTACGTAACACAAAGATAGTACATTTTTTCATATATGTTTATTTTTAAACCATGAATCTGTATACAAAAGCCAGCATAACTCTTTAACAATGGTGACACAATAGATTGATTATTCTTTGTAGGTTATTCTAGATGTGTGAAGTACAAAACAAATGCAATAAACGTTGGTAAACAAGTGAAATAGGTTGCCTATTTATAAAAACTGGCAAAATAATTGGAGGCTATTGGGGGGGATTTTTATCATGGTGGGCGCTGGATTCTTATGGATTACAGTGTACAAATAGCGGATAGCGTTGTGTGGCTTTACTTCTTTATACACTGGCAAAATAATTGCTTTTCATTTCACTGTACGTTTTTGTTTACTTGATGTTTTGCCTTTGTGTTTTTAAAGTTCATAAAAGATTGACACCGCAGGGCCAAAAGGCAAGGTAAAGAAAAAAAATCGGAAAGTGGATGGATTGGTGAAAAACAATTACAATTATGCCACCTGTTCACTGAATATAACTGATTATCACAATTTTAGGGTAATGTAAATTTCCAAACTAATTTTTAACACAAAAAAGATTTTGTAAACTTTTGAAATCCATTTACAAAATAGAATTCAATAGATTATTTTACCTTTGCCAAAATACAGATAGATAAATCTGATATTGCCCAGAGCATCTTCATTACCAGATGAATCTTGCAGAATCACTATTTCTAAGTAAAATAAAATAGCAAAATAGCAATTCTGGCCTTTATAAAATGGTCCCAAAAAAAGAAATATCTGGTCATAAATCAGTGTTTGTCATTTTCCACAGCCAATGCATAATGCCATTACTTTGCTGTTATTATGGCTTTGCCAATGTTATCTCCTTTCAGCATTCCAATAAATGCAGATGGCATGTTTTCAAAGCCTTTAGTGATGTGTTCATGGTACTTCAGCTTCCCCTGTGGAATGAAAACAAACTACAAATGAGTCACAGATTTGTGTAGGTAAGGTATGTATGTCAATGAACAAAACAATGTTATAGGATAAACACTCAATATACTATGCAAGAGATTTGCTTATTTATGTCACAACTGCTACAACTAGGGTTGCCACTTGGATGATATTTTACTGGACTGGCCAATACAAATAGGACTTGTTGCCAATGTTATTAATAGGGAAGCGACCATAAGACTGGTTATTTTCTCCCAGTAAAGGTGTCATCCCTAGCTGCAAAACTGAACCTACAGCAGTTTTTCCTCATTTTACCCTACACAGTGAAATGATTGTTCAATAATTATGGTGCCACTATGTTGGCTAATACAGGTTTTTGTTTTCCTGCAGTGACACAGTTCCTACAGAATAGTCAGTATGGTATGATGATTATTATTCTAATGATTAACCAGGTTAGTCATTTTGATCAAGTGCATATTGATGTTTTGAAACAATGTTACTAAGCTCGTGGAATTACTCAGTGTTAGTGTGTGCATACCTTATAACTCTGAGAGATCTATTTATAAATGTTTTCACAGAAGATTCACACAACTTTCACCCAGGATTTCCCATTTTCCCAAATATATCCCCTTGGGAAAATGTGTGAATTCTGGATGAAAGCTGTGTCAAACTTGTGTGGAAACATTTATAAACAGACCTCTCAGTGTATAGCTGTTCATTTTATATTATGGGGCAGAACACTGTCTCTCACACTAGATCCTAGTAAGATGATAGCTGAAGATATGGCAGCACTGTGTTGCAGAAAAGTAAGGCTATTCTAAAAATCTGATGGACAGTCACTGTAGCACAAGGAACTGGCTTGTGAAGATTATGTGGCACTTACAATCCAACAGTCATCTCTCTAGAGTCCTTTTAGGCAGACATAAAAAGAGGTGAAATCAGCTCCAGTTTCTCTGTGCTGTCCTCTAGGTACTGAACAAACAAGAATCTGATTTGAAGAAGCCAGCAGGATGTCTCTCTGGAGTCTCTCTCAGCTGCCTGCTTCCAGATTATTGACCTGTGTTCTCTTCACATTGTGTATGTGGAAATAATTTACTTTCACTATTAACATTCTACTGTTGATTTTTTATGATTTGATTTCATCCAACGTTTATGTGATCTCTGATCACGATCATTCAAGATTTTTTCTGAAAACATTTCTTCCTCGAAGATGATGGTTCACCACTATCGTTCCAGGTTTTAATAATGGGCTGGACAGTTCTTAACCCAATTTTAGTAGTGTCAACAATCTCCTTAGATTTTTTTTTTGCTTGATGCAGGCCAATAATTTGACCCTTCAAAAACAGAGTTACAACTTTTCCACAACCACAGGATATGTCTTCTGACATGTGTGATGTTCGGGGAATTAGCTGGACTGTAGGACACAGGCTTTATCAGAAAAACAGCATTTATTTTCTACAGCCAACAACAGAAACAATCCTTTCGTTCTTCAGCACAGCATAACAACTTGAAGTTTGCTTCCTTCAGCAGAGAAATAATAAACTTTACAGTTTGCTTTCTTCAACACAGAAATAATAAGCTTGGATGGCTTCAGTCCACAAAGGTTATCACAATCGCAACCTTCTCAATCTTAGCCCACAGGCTCCCAGTAAAGTTCAGCTGTTTCACAGCACCAGCACCTTAGTCTGCTTCACAGTCTTATCTGCACACAATACTCACTGTTCCTCTCTCACCCACTAGTTCTAGCTTCCTATCCTTTTGAGCATACTACCTGCAGCAGGTGTTAACCCATTTCTGTCCCTTAAATAGACCACAACCCAAACAAGGGGAAACACAGACCTCTCCCAGTACCCATCTTCTAGCATCCTGTACATATGGTTGATGAAACATGAGAACATACTCACTGCATCAGTTAGGGTTCAATAACTTGTTGTTAGCTGAAAAATATTAATAACTGCAATAATTATCCAATGGAAAGCTCTTACTTATTTGCTTAGCTAAATCCAGGTGGTGACTTTTTGGTGGGCTAGGCAGTGTATATTTAATTTGGATGTGGATAAAACCTTCTCAACAGTTGTCAGTACACAAGATCTTTGTTTGTAGTTCTACTTTATCCACCAACTATACTATACCCTATAGATTGCATAAACTGAGAATTAGACATTTGGCCGATTGTTACCATTGCTGCACAACACCATTGGATGTTATGCATGTCTTCTGATCTTGAGTTCAAATATCACCTTACTGGCAAAAACACACCAGCTATTGACACTGATTCTGGGTGTTGATCTACCTCACCTCCTCTGCCCTTGTTATGTTACTAAGTCATATAATGTGTAAACACCTCAAACAGCTAATATGACTACTGTTCTTTACTGTCAAAAAGGTAATTTTTCTAAAATGGAAGAACCAAACAACTCTGGACATAGGAACCTTCATTATTCCCATCAGAAATGTTACCTAAATACAAACAACTTTTGATTAGCTGGCCATGCCCAAATAAGTTTCACAAAACATAGGGGCCATGGTTAACAACAGTTCTGACCCTGGTATACATTTTGAACCAACTTCAATGGGCTTTGTACTAAGAACTGCTGAAAGTGTGCTAATGTGTATCGACCTCTGTATAATATACAGGTTTTTTTTAATATATATTTTAGGGGGACTAGGCAGAGACCAGTGTGAGAATATTAGGATGCGTGAAAGAAGCCTGTTTCAATGTCCAAATTTTTTGTTGACTTTGTATATTTGGTTTTATATTGAAAATATTTATAAATAAAACACAGTGCAGAAAATGCTCATTTATACATCTAACAGTTACCTCTACAACCCATTGCATTAGTTTTTCCAGACCCTCATCATATCTGTTTAACCACCGCTGGACTGTGAATCCTTCCATTCGCAGTTGTTTGAAAATTAATGGAAGGTGTACATATTCCCCTGCAAGAAAGATACACATTGCAGATTTAGATGGCAGTCCAACATATCAATATAATATCTGACCAGCAAGCAAACTATTTTAAAGCTGAACTCCAAAATAAATATGTATTCATATAATATGTCATTTGTATTCCTATTTGAATCTTGGTGCACTTTGTGTATTTCTGTGCCTCTGTGCAGTAATCCAGTGTGAAACTTTGTCTCCTGTAGTAAAGACTGCTGCTCTGGACTTCCGGTTCCGGCGCCTGATGTAGTGGAAGCAGAGGAAAGAGCTCCCGCGCGGCCAGGGCCATAATCGATATTAATACCTACTCTAACGAGCCTGCACACTCCCAGTTCATCTCTGAGGTACAACCTCAACACTGTGGAATTATAAGCCCTCCCTTTTATGTGTTTTTTTACGTTCTATATGCTCTAATGTTAGACACTTGTGCGGGGCTCTAGATTTTTTGTGCCTGACTGTCACCGTCCTAGGCCCTGGTCTAGCGGAGCGCCCAGGAATGCTCTGCCACGCTTTTCAGGAAAAAAGCGAAGTCACGTATTGTTTGCTCATGGTTTTTAGTTTGGTTTTCTTTTTTGTTTTTCACTGTTAAGTTTTGCTTTACTGCTGCTCTCTCCCCTTGTGTGTTATGCTTCCCCTCCGGTAGTTTTCTGCAGGCAGCTTGTGTTGGGTGGAGCCTTATGGGCCCCTCCCACAACTCTGCTCTCTGCACAAGCAATGTGCAGCACTGTGATGATGTCACTGCTACTATTATATGGCAATATATTATTATAATATGGGAGCCTTGTCTGTCAAAATGGCCTGGCATTTGACAGTAGAAGGAAGGTTTGGGAAGCTGTTGCAGGTATATGCCGATATCTCTGGATGTCTGTACTTTATACCTTCAGCAGTTTGCCCCTTCCCCATTGATAATCTCTCTTTTAAGAGTTTTTACAGATGTATGAAGGTATTGTTGTTATAAATGGTTGTTATCGTTGTAACTTTGTAGTGTCTATTAGCCTAATAGCTTGTGCTAGTTGTACATGCATTTATAAAGAATATAAGAATGTGGAAGAAGGCCCAAGACAGTATTTGTGACTGTCATTATCCCAGTCATATCATTGTATATACAGGTGTCCCTAGGTGTGCATTTAAAACAATGCCAAATACTATTACGAGACCCTGATCCTGCTTTTATCTTATTATTAGGCCAACAGTAGGATTGGGTTATTACTAGTTTTAGGGTTAGTGTTTTGGCTAGGGTTCCCAAAACCTAGATACAAAAAAAAAGTGTTGGTAATTATTATATGAGCTTGTGTTAAAAGAGAACTATGACTTTTTGGGCCATATACTATGTCCTCCTGTGACCTAAAACTCAGCATATAGTGGGCTACATCCAGCTATGTGCTGACAGCACAGAGCCACGCTGTGGCTAGGAAAGATCCTGACAATATTGTCGGGATCCACCCCATGGCTGATTGATAGCTAGCTCTGCTGCTCTAGAGGCAAAGCCAGGTGTCCCCTGCCCCTGCCCCCTCCCCCGTCCGTCCCTCCAATGAGTGCTGGAGGAATGGAGAGGAAAAGGAGGGAATCCCTGGGGGGAGCGGTGAATGACAGCCACTTCTCTCTGCAGGGTGACGATTGGGAAATGATTGATCAGCGGTATATGATCTCTCCGATCAATAGAGCCGACGTATGACAGTTTTAGTGTCACATGACGGCTCTTATTATGGGGAAGACTGTATTTCACTCGCCACATAATTCTCCTTTAACAATGTCTGCTTTAGGTTTTGCAGCAGACCTCTTTTTTTATTTGCTACTAAGGTTACTAAACCTAATTTAGAGCAAATTTTCAACCATTTATCCATCTAATGCTATATATGTAAATCTGATACTAAAGAATAGCCTGTGCTTAAACAAAAAGATGCTATAATGTACTTGGGTATTACATGGGGTTTGAAAATTATTAATATGTAAATTGACACATTATCTAAACTGTGAAATAGCTCCAGTGCCCATAGACATCAGAGAGTTATCTAAGGTGTATGGGCACCACAAAACTGCAATACACCTCTTGAGTTAAATAGGAATAACATAAGCAATTGCATTATCTTTACCTTTTCTTGGGACTTCATCATTGTATAGTGCAATAGCTCCACAAACAGCAATCCTTCCAAATGTTCTCATTTGCTGTAAAGCCACATCGGCAAAATATCCACCAACCTACATGGACACAGCCAAAAAAAAAAAATGATTCAAGAGTGCAAACCAAAACATTTACAATCTTTAAAATGAAAATATATGTCATTAGGGAAGCACAGTACCTGGGCTCCTGTAGCATGCACAAAGAAATAAGGGGAAAACCTAGATAAGACTGCCCTTTTATATACAAAATTACTTTTTTTAAATTTAATTCAAACAGTGTATGGCCCATCAGTAACCCCCATTTGATAAGAGTCGATTTTTCTATTGACTTTTGTTGAAGTCCAAAAAAATCTCAGCTGAACAGTGACTAGAACCAATCAGTATTTTGACAGCAGCACAACCACCACAGTCATAATACTTTAGCCCGGCAGAAGATTCCCCAATCCATGGGCTGAATGATAAAAAAAGTCAGTGTATGGCAAGCTTAACCTGTGTTACACAGAGATCTTGGCTGTATGGCCATTGGGAGATACATAGTCTCCCCATTGAGAAGCTTTGGTTCTACCTGAATTTATCATCACCATCGACAGATGCAGAACCCAACCAGACCACCTTCCTTGGAGGAACTATGCAGCTTCCAGTGGTCTGGCAGTGAAGATTTTTGTGTAACATGAACAGGTTAAGCTGGCTATACACTTCATTGAGCATAGACAGGTAAGTGTGGGACTTGGGTGGTTGGGTTAGTTGCATAAAGAGAGACAACTTTTAAAGGATAACTGCACTGCTACAGCACAGGTATTTTTGAACATGAACCTGTCCTGAGGGTAATCCTGGGTCTACCATTGCAAACTATCTTCTGAAAACACTAGTTGCCTTGCGGATTCATTAGCTGATATTGTCTAAGCCATTAAACTTGTGTGCAAAGAAGCAATGCTCAAGAAAGATCAGAACTCCATATGTGAAAACAAGACCCAGGTCAGTGACTCAAAGTAAGATTTTCGGCATGATAGCCAGGCAACTAGTACTTTAAGAAGGAGAGGTAAGCAATGGCAGCCTCCATGTTTCTCTTATGACCGGTTTACTTTAATTACTCTTGGCAATTTAGTGTACTGTGGCTTATTGCTGGACAAGCCAATATAAATGTAATTATAATGAAACATTGACATTTAAGTAAATAGGAATTGTAATTTTCACTTGTATTGTCTGATAGAACCAACTTACATTCTCAAAGTAACAATCATATCCCTCCGGAGATGCCTTCTTCAATGCTTCCTCCAAGGAACCTACTGTCTTGTAGTTGAAAGCTTCATCAAAACCGATTTCTTTCAAATATTCAACCTTGTCACCTGAGCCAGCAGATCCAATGACCTTACACCCCTAAGACACACCAATAAAAGCTCCTAATGTTTAATTCACAAAGTAAAACAACAGCAAACATGGCAACAGATAAGGCTTGCCCTTATTATCAAAGTCCTGTAAGATTAACTGTTCTTGTTACCCATAGAAACTTGATTATCCCTTCCATTCTTCCATGCTATGTAGAACAGAATAGTTCTTTTTTATAGTCAATTTATGGTGCTAGAAATATAGGTGCTACCAGTTCTGATTTATTTTAGGAACCTGCCGGTTCTGAAGCTCACATCTTGATGCTGGTTTCACTACTTAGTGAGTAATAAGCTGGAACAAGCAAACAGCCAATGAAGTCTGCAAAGTCTGAACTCCTAACATGTATGCTTGTACCAGGCTACTGACCCAATTGGTAGTAAAATCCAAATGAGGGTGATAGCACCACAACCTGCATGTTAAACACTAAGAGGGTTATTCACAAAAGGGAGAAAAGTTTGGAGAAGGCAGGAGAAGTGAACAGTCTAGGACAACATAGCTGAACTGGAAAGTGAGCTGAATTGGAGAATGTTTCCAAATCAGCTATTTTGGCCTAGATTGTTCACTTCTCCTGCCTTCTCCAAACTCTTCACCCTTTTGTGAATAACCCTGTTAATCTTTCTCTGCTGCAGTTTCACTTTCACTTATTGTTGAAAAGCAATAAATGTTCTGGTCCTGAAGTTAAATGTGTGTTTTGCCATACTTGACAGTGGATGCCATATGAGCCTATTGAGTAGCTGTGATTCCTCCATTCAAGTTGTGTAATATGACAGTTGTGATGTATGCAGTAGTAAAAGGCTGTTAGTAATAACATTACTTACAATTATTTTTCCTATTTGGCCAGCTATGGATCCTACAGCCCCAGCTGCTCCATTGATGAGAAGTACTTCACCTTTTTTTGCAAAGAGGATCTCACGTAAACCAAAGTACGCCGTTAAACTGTTTGGAGTATAAGAATAATATAGTATACAGTATATCAATGAGTGTAATATTCAGTTGAGATGTAGTCATAAAAAGTCAATCAGGACTCCATTGTAATGTAAGTTATAATCAGTTAAAACCACTCCCTATGAGCTAGGTGCAAGCAATAGATGTATAGAGAATATTTACTTGCAAGGTACTGGGATAGATAAAAACTTTGAGGGCTGTTTCATACTTCAGTGGTCTGCTGTGGTGCAATATTGGGCGTTACAGGCATTACTTCATACATTAAAGTGTGTTACGTTAAGGCAGCCCATTCATTATGACTGGGCTACCAGTGCACCACAAACAATCAAAATATTCACATCACCCGATATTAGCAATGCAGAGCACCACAAGGCACAGTATGCAGTGTGCTGTACCATAGAGTACATTGGTGTGCACTTCGCAATGAGTGGTACCACAACACACTGCACACAGAGCATGTGCATTGTTGTATATACATTTCTTTCTGCTATCTAGTACTTATCTAATTTATGTTGAAGGACAGATCAGTTTGAGTCTGGAGCCCTCTGCTGAAACTGTGTAGTAATGCAAACAGTATTTCAAATGTAAAATTAGAGCCATTGCACAGAAATGTCCCTTAATTATACCCTAAAAAGAAGCTGGGCATGTACGGGTGGCTGTGCGGGGATGGAGAGGCTGTGTCAGTGACCGGTCACCGGTCAGGGCTCTTCAGCCTTGTGGAGCCGCTACTGGCACTGCAGGTAGGCAGCATATTCTGCTGTGTGGGAGAGGATCCTCTCCACTTAGTCCTGCCCCCTGGCCGCCAAGATGGGTTTATGAGATTTGCAAATCATTGCATTCTGTACCACTACCACTATGTAGTTAAGCAAAATGGTCACCCAGGACTCTCAGCCAGAGGGGCTGAGCAATTCCAGGACACAAGTACTTTTACAAGGAAAGAGCTGGCTTTAAAATTATTTCTGGGTTTTCTAAATTAGAACTGGGATCCTGGAACTGGGAGATTTCTAAGAGAACTGGGAGGGATGAAATCTCCATTCCTGGGTCCGGAATTTAGTGGTGACCAGGTCCAAATGATTGTGCACCTGTGCACAGCCCTTATGGAAAGGATGCTGGTTCATGTTCAGGGTCCAAGCTGGAAGACAAAGGAGGTGTCTGTCCAGGAGTCAGGAGGACTCCATCCTGGAATCAGCCGGGGTGGCAAGTCAGCTGGATTCAGCCTCTATGGGAGAGGTTTTAAGTAGGGATGTTCATATACCAAGTACCGTACTCAGTACAAGTAAAAATACAGATACTTTTCCAGCTCCAAGACTAGACTAGAGAAACATTCAGAATTTAGGAGGCAGCTGTCATTTGTAAGGAGCACACGGAGCTCCTGGGATTTTTTGCATCCCCATTTTAATGCATTTTTTTTTTTTTTATAAATATACATAAGAGATGCACCAATACCATTTTTCTAAGTACAACTACTGATACTTGTCCAAGTACTCACAGATACAAGTACTGGTGCATTTTTGTTTATTGTCATGTAACAGTTTTTCTAAAACAATACAGACTAATGATTTCAGGACAGTGGTGGAGCACCAGAGCCAGGTCCCAGCTGCAACCTCTGTGACCCTGGTAGTTCTCATGAAAATGCCAAGTATCGGCACCGGTATCTGAACTGGTATCTGAGCATCCCTAGTTTTAAGTGATAACCTGAAGTCGGTGAGACTTTGAAAAACATTATTTTGCTGAATGATAAAGCTAAAGTTGTGTTATGTTGGAGAAACCCCTGTGAGGGAAGACTTCTGTGAACTTTTAAATAAAAGTGGGCAGGAAACCATAAAAAGAACATGTTTGTGAGTGGACTCTGTCCTTAATGCGCTACCATTTGAAGCTAAATCTCACACGGGGTACAGGTACTCTTAACAACAAGATCACACAGGAACTCGTGTACACACATGCACAATCACACACAGACACACAGAGGTTGTCCATAGGAGGTGGTAACTTTCAATGGGAACAATTCATCCCTTCATTTTAAGAGTGATTTCCACTTACTTTCTGAATTGTCAGGCTGATACTGTCAATGACTGTAGTTAGGGACAGCTGTGCGCCCCTGGAAGGAGAAGGTTTGCATCCAGGAGTATACATCTGTCCCTTACCACAGGTACCTGCTCTGTGAGTGCTTACATGCGAACACTGAACAGCCTTGGACAGTGTCCGCCTGTCACTGATTTGTACAGACTTCCTGTCTGCCGCTGGTTGGAAGAACCTGGCCATACCCACCTCAGCAATATGCCTTACTTACTGGGGCTTCTGCACCCAGGGGGCCACAGACATTCCTCTGCTGCCCTGTGTGGGTTGTCAGTAGAGTATACTTTGAAATGTATAGGTGATAAATACATTACACAACATAAACGGCATAAGAAATATTAATATTTTTTTTTAAGGTGGCTAGATTGTAGTTACTCACCCAGGCATTCCAATTGTCCCAAGAGCCAGAGACTTGGGGATGTGGTCAGGCCAGTTTGACAGTAGAGGACTCAGGTCTTTCCCTTGAGAGATAGAATGAGTAGTCCAGCCACCATTTGAGATAGCATAGCTGCCAACTGGAAATTTTGAGTCTTTGCTTTCCAAAACCCTAGAGATATAACACAAAATAGCTTATTGTGTGTGATTATATGTTCTAATTTATGACAACATGATGTGTATTTAACAGATACATTGATGTGTATTAACAGATGTACATTGAATAGTACAATTATCTGCACTAGTTGGACATAAGCCCCTAACACTTTACTTTTGCTGGGTTTAGACAATAAGAGGGACAACATTTTTATATTAAGGCTCTAGTTATCATTTTGAAATGTTTTGCTCCAGTTGTTAGTTTGCAATGTATTATAGACCTTAAAGAGGCCATGTCACTGTATTGTGATCTGTCTATTAAAGACATGCATGCAATCTGTACAAGATATACTTACAGTAGTACTCTCTGCAATTTGAGTTGTCAAATCAAAGTTATCAGAGTCACTAACCTGTCAAAAAACTGACACATTTTGGACTGCTCACAGTGCGCCCCCTGTCATCATCTTACCTACATCATCTTACTTTGTTAATAGGAAAAGCTAACAAGATTGGAAATGAAATCTGCTGTGTAGTAACCCCACTATCAGAGTGCACATTCAGACCACGGTAGACAGTCACCAAAAGGCCTATCTGCAGGACCAAATTTTGGCCCTACTAGTCAACTACTACCTCCGCCATGCCCTGATCTTTGTGATAGTGGGAGCAGTCCCAACACCCATCGTTAATCATTGGCGACTAATCTGTAAGATTTAAAGTAGTGGTAAATGTAGGGGTGTACTTTACTTCCATGTGGCAAATCTAAATTTTCATTAATTTAGATTTTTAGACTCAATATACCATGTAAGCTAGCATTTGGTCATGAATGCACCTCTATCTGTAGGTACTATTTGAATAAAGATTTAATGTTTGCCTGTTCATAAAGTCAACTATTTCCATTTTCATTATTTCTACGATTGTATGTAAATAACAATAAAACGAATACAGTAAATAAAAGGTATTGCATTAAATCATCATTGTTAGTAAGAAAGAAGTATAATCATTTTACTTCTCACTGATGGAAAAACACATGTGTTGTGTCCCACTTTTTGCATATTGTTCTGCTATGGCAGTAAATGTTATTATGTTGTGGTGTCTAGTGACAACTAGTGGTTGCGCAGCACCAAAACAATTTGTTATTGTGTGATTTGGTATGTTCCTGTTCCCCTTCTTGTTAGAGCTAGTTATTGCAGTCTTTAGATCAGGAGTGGGCAAACTCTGGCCCTCCAGCTGTAGTGAAACTACAAATACCATGATGCATCTGATTTTGAGAGTCATGCCTGTGGCTGTGAGAATCTTGCAATGACTCATGGGATTTGTAGTGCCACAACAGCTGGGAGGACCAGAGTTCGCCCACCCCTGCTTTAGATAAACCCTCCCTTCTTCTCCATGTTTCGTCAAGAAGTCTCAAGTTAATTGCAGGCGCAGCGTTTAGGAAAGTAATTGAAGGAAATTTATCAAAACTGGAGCAGACAAAATCTAGAGCAGCTGTGCATGGCAACCAATCAGCATCTCTCTTTCATTTTCAAATCTTAACTGAACAAACTGAAGAGAGAAGCTGATTGGTTACCATGCACAACTGCTCCAGATTTTGTCTGCTCCAGTTTTCATAAATTCCCCCTATTGTCTTCATACATTTCAAAAGCCTGGAAGACATCCTCTGTTATGTACTTTGTAAAGTAAAACTGTGTTGCATTAAACTTCTGTGTCTTATCGGAGAGTTAAACTGTATGTGAATTGTGCCAAGTCAGCATGTGGCCATATTGTCTGGGCAGATCGAGATCTAAAGGTGGTATGTCAATGCATAAAGAGACTTTTGAAGCAGAACAGCATGAATTGTGTGGCCAGAAGATCATATTTAACTGTTACCTTGCAACCTGAGTCCCCATCATGATGTCCCCTTCCTTCATCATTCTCTTGCTGTATGGCCTGGTACAAATATACAATTGGTAATGTTCAGGATATTGCAGAAATGTCTGAGGCAGCTTTACATGCTTTACACATTTACATGTCATTTTAGCGCAAGTGAGTAAAACAGAAGAATCTCATTGAATAATGTGGGTAACATTTGTCCTTGTGGTACTCATTCATGGACTTTTGCCCACCACTATCCACCTTATGGATCTAATTGGGCTTATTTACTAAAGGAATAGAGGATATACACTTACCAAATCAAATGCTATTAAACAAGGTGAAAACACTTTACAAATTAAACAACCACTAATCCTTTAGTAAATCAACTAGAATGAGTCAATGGCCATATCTGATTGATATGGTTGTTCAAACTCCTCCTGCTAAATCCCTGATTAATGAGAAATTTGGATGATAACTTTGGGCAACTGCAGTTGATGTAACATTTGATTTTTCCTCCTGTCCATTCAATAGTCATATTCCACAGCTTTTATATGTAGGGTTCCTGGGGGATTACCCAGTGAGGCTGAATGCCTGACAATGCATTTTCACAGGCGCAATAACCAGAAAAGGTCCATTGAAGTACATAAGAAAACACCGGGCGCCTGACCTGGTTTTTCTTATATTTTCTTATGTTTCCATGCAGTGTTCAGGATCCCTTATCTGTAACGGGGCAGCCGTCCTGGATTCTAAGAAGTTATTTTGGGCCACAGGAGGGTTCCTTTTGGCGCTGGTCGATGCTTTTTTTTGGAACTGCCGAATATTGGCCTGTTTGTCACCTCAAAACTTAATGATAAATTTGGGTAGAGCTTTTTTTTTGTTATTGCATTTAATAATAGGATAATTAAATAATGCCATACCTCATGTATGGGTCCACACTAAAGCACTCAGCTTCCAACAAAACCTCTGTAGAGTAAAAATTTATTTAGTTAGTTTGCAACATACAATATTGGCATATATAGTATAACATGGCATTACACAAACTACAAACAAAATGATGTACTTTCATCAACTTACAACCTGTTGTGTACTGCACAATCTGGTTTACAGAATAATAGTTTTGGAGTGGTATTCAAAAATGTGCGCATCAGGGCTAAACATCTACTAGGCATAAGTGGTAAGCTATCCTAAGTGACCTGTTTGCTTAAAAGACCTATTTAAATTAAGGGGAATTGTACATTTACAGTAACAGTAGCTATAACATCCATATGAGTTTTCATTAATGAATACATAAGGCTCAATTCACAAAGCTAACAGACCAGGATAAAGAGACATGTTTTAAAAAAAAAAGTGACAGTTATTTTCAGCTAAATCCAATGAGATTTGAAAATTATAGTCACATGACTAAAAATTAGGCTGTATATCCATAGGTAAAACTTTGTGAATTGGGCCTATTGCACAGCAAATTATGATGTAATGAGTACAGTAGCCTATAGCAATCAGATTGCGTCTGTTTTTAATTGAAAAGTACCACAACAATAAAAGAATATTGCTAACAGGTTAAATGGGTTACTGCCCTTTGTGGCTTGCTTTTTGACTTTGTAAATAAGCCTGACAAATAAACAGTATATGCAATAATCCTATAATATATTAAGGAAAACGTATAGACCTACCTCCATTCTTTAACTTTTGCAATTGAGTTTCCACTAATTTGAAGTCAGATAGTTTGGGCGCCCCCTCAAAGTGCTTCACCAGGGTCCATGAACGAGCGAGCACCATTCTGTGAAGACTGCGGGATAGCAGAACCAAGTCAGGTCATAGTCCACTGCACAATAAGTATTTTTATATACTGTCTCAATAAGGAGGTGGTTCTATCTAAATGATATCTGTGCAGCTTTATTGGCTGTGCTAACAATGCTTTTGTTCACCACACAGGGACAACCTGCCAGAAAACCATGTTCTTGTTTGTATTTTCATGGAGCTGCTCAGGCAAATACTTGTCTTTTAAGTAAAATGACTCCGGCAACTGTAAACCTGCATTTCACTAACAAAGAATGACTTAGCAAAATTCATTTGTTCTTGCCATGGCTTGCAAAATCCAGCAAACCTTTAAAGGAATATTGCTTTAGTAATATACAGATATCATTAGTAATTACAATTTACAGCTGAGTCATTTATGCAGACTCAATACTCAAAATACCTTTTAAAAAAATACCCTTGCAGTGGCCTAGGAGTAGAGGAATAACATGTAATATTTACCTTTTTCCCCACTCTAGCAGGCTTCCAGCACTCACCTCTTCTCTTTGATGTTCTGGGTTTTGGATAGGCTATCGCAATCCTCATATACAATGCAGAGCTATTGGTCCAGCATTGCACTTGATGACATGAGCGTGTGGCCGCTTTAGAGAAGAGTCTTCAGAGGACTGGTAGCATAATTTGCAGGAAGCTTGATGAAGCAAGGAATAAGGTAAGTTTTATACATTATTCCTCTACCCCTAGACTTAAAGAGCATTTACCCCTTGCATTAAGGGAAGAGTTAAGCTTTAATCCTGTCCAATAGGGAGTTCAATTACAACAATGGGCAAAATCAACCTTGCTTGTTTGTGCTTCTAAAGAGCAGATCTGGTAACATCTGCTTGCTGCAAAATTTCTTCTTGGCGGAGAACATGCAATTTGTGTCTTTATGCTATTTTTCACTTTTGCCATGGTGTGCAATATGGAGGTTAAACCAGTAGATCTACTACAACCTCATCTGCTTATTCTGGTTGTCCTTTGCCCAATTTGGTTACTTAAACGCAGCTGTTTCCCTTTCAGTTAATCAATTTGGGTCAATCAACACCTGGGGGTTTCATTATAAATTGTGTACACACACGGCGAACAGCACCTGTACCTATTTATAAACAATTCACAGGGCCATTTGTCCTGTGACTTACTTATTTCCTATGCTCCTCAGCTTCATCAGCTGACCTGCTGAGACCCTCCTCATCTGCCCCTGCTGACCTGGTGAGACCCTCTGCATCTGCCCCAGGTGAGACCCTCCGCATCTGCCCCTGTTGAGACCCTCTGCATCTGCCCCTGCTGAGACCCTCTGCATCTGCCCCTGCTGAGACCTTCTGGGCAAACAAAATAGTATCCTTGCAGTGGGGCTTCCCCCTCAGTACAAGGGTTGAGTGCTCGTTTTTGTCTAGGGGTTGAAGTAAAGCAGATTTACTTACATGATCTCAATTATCTCCGGTGGTTTGCATTTTCCTCTTCTCCCCATCCTCTCCGGCTGGGGGGATGTCCCTTGGCATCCTCACATCTAATGCAGGTCTATGGAACCTGCATTAGACATGATGATATCAGTGGGGACTGCTCTAGCAGCCAATAGGGAGCCTACGGGAGTGGGGATCATCTAAGTAATTCTGCTTTACTCCAGCCAATAGACAAAACCAAGCACTTTACTGCGGGGTTAGTCCCACTGCAAGGCTACTTTTCTGTTTGCACAGAGATGGACTTTAAGAAGCATAGTGGTATACATGAGTTTTGTTCTTGCTTCTAAATGTTAAAATTAGGAAACATAATATGTATTTATAACCATTTACACGCAAAAGTATCTAATCCTCCGCGAGTCTCTTAAATTTCATTGTAAATATTGTATGTTAGTTTAAAGCTGAACTCCAGGCAAACAGCTAAATACACAGTTGAAATTAGGTGCTGGGGTTCCGGTTTGAAGGAGCCGCAACAGACATCACTGTCCTCTCTCCTCCTGTCAGCAGCATCATGTAACTGTCCTCCCCTTCCATAGTCCCATTGTTGCTGTACAAGGGATTGCAAGAAGCTGAAATCAAGTTGATTTTGGATATTTTTACTGGCTGCATTTCAAACACATTTAATGATTTTTATCATAAATACATATTGTTCTTATATCTGCCTGGAGTTCAGCTTTAAATATACTTTATAGTTGCTGAATGCATGACAACCTGCATGCTGCAAAACAAACTTTACTATATAGCAGTGCGTATCATATTGATACACTATGTAGCAGCTAAAGGCGAGGTTCCATTAAGATAAACACGTACACAAATAGTATTTGGAATGAGTCCTTAGATGACCTACAGTATGAAAAACAATTAGCAGAAATAAAGACAAGTATTCCCATTTACAGATAACTCATATTCACCAGGCTACAAAGAAAACTTCCCAAAAGATATTTAATTCACATACATAATCCTCTGTTTTACCTCATTGTTCTGTAATGGAAGTTATCCCGGTTTGAGGAAGTTTCTAAAAGCAGCTCACAAGCTTGCGTATTTACACAGACTCCTCCCTCCTGTAAGTGGCAACTTAGTTAAAGGGGAAATCTCATCTTGCAGCTAAATTACTCTTTGCAGAAGCTGGAAGAGTTTTTAAAGAATCATTTTTAAAATTAAGAAAAAATGTAATAAAATTTGAATTTAAGCAAGAGAAGTTGCTAACTTTTTATGAGGGGGTGAGTAGAGATATGGATGGAGGGAGGCCGGTAGATGTGGTATATCTGGATTTCTCAAAGGCTTTTGATACGGTACCACACAAACGCTTGCTACACAAGCTGAGGGTTGGAGAGTTTGTGCAGAGGTTTATGTTAGCGGATGTGGTACACATCCATGAGGCTCGGTCCACACCCAGGCATAGCGGAAACCCGTATCAAACACACAAAAAAGTGCCTGCTTTGATGCGTGTCATGTGTTTTTTAGATGTGAAAATGCACACAAACGCAGAGGAAAAAATGCGCACGGCAAACACAGAAAACAAACTCATGAACGCAACGCACGCTCCCACTATGGCTAGTTGTGGAATAGAGCCTTTGACAATTCACATTAGTATTTCAGTGTATGACTCTGTATATGCAATAGGCTTCTGGTTATAGTAGAGCTCTATTCTAAACTGGATACAGTAGGGTAAGGGATGGAACCCCTGTCAAGATGAAAAGGTAGTCACTAATTCAAAATTAGAACCTTCATGTATGGATATTAAAGCATAGTCAAAACTGTTGTTTTAGGGGGCACACAGATCTGTTTTTCATGTTGTCATCTTGGTAAAGGAAGCCTGCATGCATTATTAATTATTACTTGGCTCCCATTTATTCACTGTACCACTGTTGGCCTTGGACCCACTTTTACTAACTGGCTAACTGGCTATGATGTGTGGGGATGGAGATGCAAACCCAGTGAGATGAGTGGACTTCAGACACAGATAATTTGGAACTCCAGTCATTCAAAGTTTTCATGAGAACAGAAAGCCTCACTTGGTGATTTCACTTCTACTACTTTTCTAGTGACATATGCAAAATTATAGATTCCTCCTGTCAATGATAACAAGCACAGGAAATGAATGTGGATGATGCAAAAATATAACATTAGCATGGTTCTCATCATCATTACACTGTGAGTGCAGTCCAGTATTCACAAAGTGTTAGCAATCACCAAAGTGCTTTTTTATTGTTAAACACAAATACAAAGTTTTTAATCTTAGAGTTTTACTACTGTCTACAGGAGGATTGGACAGTGGCAAACGAAAAACTGTAGGCCAGTGCAGGATAACCCCTACTACTACCAGCATGAGTACAGTTTTGGAGCAAAGCAGTACCGAGAGTATGGTCATATACTGTATGTTGGAAGTGCAACAGCATATATTATGTATTTTGAGCTGCAGATGGTGCTGTAGTGCAATGCTAGTCTATGCTAGTCTTTGTATGTTCATACTTATCTATGATATACACAGGACGTTCTCTCTATATGTTTCCTGTATAATGCTGTCTTCTGATGTACATTTTTTCTAAGCAAGTAAAACATCATTCAGCATTCCTCAAGATATCAGTACTTCATCTAAACACATGGCCACACTGTCTAGATGATCATGTACATTGAGTATCCCTTAATGTACAAAAATCCTATCTTCTTTCTGGTCCAAGTAGACAGAAAGTTTTTAACTTTTGGGAAGTCCAAAAGCACTTCAAGTAAGGCGGGGGCAACACAGGAAACACTTGCTAATAGGCCCAAAGTAACAACAGAAAACTGGGTGCTTCCTGCAGCAAAAAAGAGCTGTCAGAAGGAACTTACACATGAAGCTGTCATCAGATGAGGCAAAAACACCCACCTGGTAGAACTTACAAATCTGGGAAACAGTTGCTTGATGCCAAAAAGTTCAAAAAGCGCTCACAGACCTAGTAGAGTGAGCCTCAATTGGAACAAGAAGCTGGGGCACCCTCCCGGGTAACCTCTAGCACCCTCCCGGGTAACCTCTAGCAGCAAAAAAGGAATCAGTCTTCCTAAAAGTACAGCCCAAACCATCAATACCAAACCATAACTTTCTTTCTGATGTACCGGAACCAGGCAAAGGGAGGGAAAAAAAAGGTCCTGGTTAAGGTGCAAGGCAGCAGCGCCCTTAGGAAAGAAGCAAATCCTGGGCCTCAACACAATATATGACCAGGTTCCCTGCACCCGCCATAAATAGCTTGATTCTTGGATCACCCTGTCCATACTGACTTATAGAAAGAAATCTGGTAATATTTAAACTGCATGCTCATTAATTACAACTATACCTGTAAATGTTACACAATTTGCTAAGTAACCAGGACTGTCATTTTTTATAACCTTTGTGAAATTTATTTTTCATACACTCACAAAAATTTCCCTTGTAATGCATTTTTGCAACCCAACCATCAACTATATTTTACTGTGTGCCATTCTGTGTTTATGGTATATACTTTCACTTAGGTATATTATTAACTTTCTAACCACATCAGATGGGAAAAAGTTCAACTATCTTCTGCTATCTTTTGCAGTTAAGTTAGCATTGGCATGATTTTTAAGGTGTGACAACAAGGTGCAGTACAACAAATACTGAATCAATTTAGAGCAAATTTATCACGTACAATTGAAAGATCAGTTATTAATACCACAGTGCCAGGAGCTGTATGCAGTTGGTATATATAAGTACGAGCTGTGAAATTTTTCTCATCGTTTCATGTATGAAAATTGACCCTATTACTGTCTAGTGTATTCCTTTAAGCATATCGTTTAACACAAATGAGTAAACGTTTATGTAATCTTTATCATCTCATCAGTTCATTAATTGGTAATTAAGTGGAAAAGGGGTGGGACAGAAAAGGAAACTCTGCACTATTCAAAGCAAAATGCATCCAGCAACTAGCTAAATGGAAGTAACAGTCATGGTGAGGTGGAATGGTCATGAGCCAAATAGAAGATGACACCTCTATACCCAGTGGTGTATTTAGGTTTGGGGCTGCCCTAGGCAAGACAAAACTCAGGCCCACCCCCCCCCCTATCCTGCAAAGCCCCCGAGACCCGGCTGAGCCCTTCACAGATCCTGCACAGCCCCCCTGAGACCCTGTAGTCCACCATAGGCCTTGCAGAGCTCACCCCAGATCCTGAAAAGCCGCCTTGGGACCCAGCAAAGCCCCCTACCGATCCTGCTGAGACCTTCTGTCAGCGATTGTATGATGAGGTCTGCTGCAGCCCTCATCAATCGATCCTGCACAATCCTTTCGGCCAGTGTTCACTGAAAGAGCGCTGGCCGAAAGGATCCGGGTGCCGGCACAGACTCAGCTACAGTTTGCATGCGACAGAGATCCAGACCGTGTAGCTGCTCCCGCAAGTCAGGTACGCGGTCCTTGACCGCGTACCTGACTTGTGAGCTGGCTGCCGGCCACAAAGTACCGGCTCACGGGCCAGTACATTCGCCGCCCTGCCGGAATCTGCCGCCTGAGGCAAACGCCTTGTTTGCCTCGCGGCAGATACACCCCTGTCTATACCTGTCTGTGATTTTGCCCTAGGCAACAAAAATGCTTTAGAAAAAAAAAGCACCAAGCCAACTAGAAAAATATTGATACAAAAAAAAGGATTAAAGAGAATCCACAATTAAACCAATCCACCCTGATTCATCAAGCTGTGCGGACAGTTAAGTTAAAGTGTGTTTAAGGTATGCTTAGTGGCTTCTATTATGTCATTTTAGCATGCTGTAATTGCAATTGCTGCTTCATGAAGCCATTCTGGTCATTCACAGCCATTCTACTTGGACCTATACTTAAAAAGAGTTTTTTATCTAGACAATACCAGGGCCTAGGTGAAGCTGGCTAGCATATCTTGAAGATTGGAATTTGACCCCTTTCTCCATATTCTAAGCTGTTTAGTAATGTGCACCTTCTCTAATTTCTGCTAACATGTGGGAAAAATTAAGCAATTAGCAATCAAGCAGATTAAGTGCAATGTTCCCCTTACATATTAAGTGCAGCTGTGCAGTGCAAGAAAGGCATTCTTCAGGCTCTGTTCACAAGGGATGATCTGGAATTCCTGCGGCAAGAATCTACAGATTACTGCTGCAGGAATGCCAGGTTTCCCGTTCAGATGCAGCCACTGTACCCAGTGAAGTAAATAACAGGTTGACAGCATCTGTCAGTATGTTACAAAATGGTACGATGAATCAGGGCACATTTGAACGGGACACCTGGGATTCCTGCAGAAGGAATCCCAGAACACCCAGTGTGAATTGGGCCTAAGTATGTCAGAGTCCACATTCCAGCTAGGAACAAGCCCATGCTGGTAGATGGCGTCATCTTAGGGAGCACAGGAGTGAATAGAGCATGAGTGGAGGTAGAGGACACAATAGAACAGCCATAGAGGTTGCTGTGGTGAGGGTGGGCTTAGTGATGCCCTCAAGAATGGATTAAGAATAATCCCATAAAAACCAACAACTGTGAAAGATGACATGTGAATCCATACCAGGTACTCCTCAAAGCTTAATTGTTGAGCTGTCAATTTAAAAAGGGAAATTCCACCTCTTTTAGAAAAAAAATGTGCATTACTTTTTTTGCATTGGAACCAGTAAAGCACTGCAACCACGATCAGTGGATCACGGGTACAATGCTCTGGCTCCTGTAGACTCTTCCTTTTGTCTATGTCCGTACCTTGGTATGGTGTTGGATAGTATTGTTACATTTCCATCAGATTTTTAGCTCATGCAGATTTTTTACTACTTTTTTGATCAAATAACAAATTTTGTAATCTAAAAGCCCTTTACAGATAAGGAATGAAATAAGGAAAAAAAAAAGCATCAAACATCCTATGGGAAACAGTATGCAAACTGAGAGCAGCACATGTCCTGTCACTAGTGTAGACAGTAACAGACTTGTACAAGTTACCAGCAGTTCATTGTGTGATTCTGCATTACACTTCTGTGATTTTAGCTACCTGCACTCTTCAGGTTGCAGAATTAATTGTATCCTGTTACTGTCCAAGTGTAAAACCGAACATGGTGTCAAAGTCCCTGTGACACTTACTTTGGAAGTAGGCTACCCACAGCAATACCTGCGGGGAGAGGTTGTGTGGAAAATGGCCAAAAAAAAAGAAGTGCTGACCCTTTTACAGAAACAAAATTCAACATATCATGGGTCCAATTTCTTATAGTCACTGCTACAATATGACATTAATTTAAGGTCTCTATTTGCAGATATAAATAACCATGAATATAAATGTATTTTAAAGTGTTATTACTATGTACGTGTAATCTTATCTTTCTATCTATGTTTCTGTTCATTGCTGGGGATGTGGTAATGTAATTACTTGAATGCCAAAGTATATTCTGTTAGTTCCAGATGATATGCTAATTAAAAGACAATAGGCTGGGACAGTGGCGGAACTACTGCCAGTGCAGCACGAAGGGGTTAAGGATGTGATGGTTCAGTGGTTAGAGGTGGTATAGGCTTCCCTGAAGAGATGAGTCTTTGGGGGATCACCTAAAGCAGGGATGGCCAAACAACAAATCCCATGAAGCATCTCTCTCTGGGAGTCATGTCTGTGAGAATCTTGCAAAGCCTCATGGGATTCGTAGTTCCACCACAGCTGGAGAGCCACAGTTTGGCCATCCCTGACCTAAAGGCAGTCAGAGTGGGAGATAGATGGACAGGTATGAACAGGTTGGGGTAAAGAGTTCCAGAGTATGGGAGAGACTCTTAGAGAAGTCCTGGAGGCAAGCATGGGAGGAGTTGACGAGGGAGCTGGAGGTCTTTGGAAGAGTGGAGGGGATGGTAAGGGTAATACTTTGAGACAAGGTTTGAGATACAGTATATCCGGGGGCAGAGTTGTGGATAGCTTTATAAAAGGTGCCCATACACTTTACAACCCTCGCAAGACTTGGTCTTGAGAGGGTTGTAAAGTACTTAAAAAACAAACAAACGACCATCTTGGACAGGCAGATCGTACTTGCGATCATCGCAAGCCCGCCCCCCTGAGGGGAGGGCTTCCGATGACTGCAATGCTGAAGTGCAGTGTGCGCTTGCGCACACCGGCCCGTTCGGCAGTCATCTCTCGATCATGTTAAAAACCAGCCGAAAAATCGTATGATTCTCGGCTGGTTTTCCAACATGCTCGAAATACAAAAGTCGTGTGACCGTACATTAGAAACGGTCGCACGCCTTCCATACACTGCACGATCGTACGATTGTGGGATTTCCCGCGATTCTCGTACGAGAATCGTGCAGTGTATGGGCACCTTAAGTGGTTGTTAATATTTTGAATGTTATCCTTTGGGCGATTGGAAGAAGCGGAAAAAAGCTGGCGGCAGCAGCAAAGTATTGACAAAGTATGGAAGAGTGAAAGAGGTGCAAACAAAGCAAAGCCTGCCATTATGTGCAGGTATACTCTGCATATTATGGTGCTCCTGCAGCCTACCCCCAAAAAAGTTTAGTTCCACTTAAAAAAAAATATACGGTAGGGTGTTGTGGCATGCCAGAAATATATGCATTTAGATTCCTAAAGCTACTGAAAAGGTACTTTAAAAAATAACATCGAACCGGCGGACCATCCCTACTAGTAAACAGTCTGGAATTTTGACCCTCATACTCCAAGCTGCTTAGCAGTGTGCACCTTCTCAAACTCCTACTACTGCTGCCTTCAGTAATGGATCAATAATCCCATGAGCACCAACATGTAGAATTCATGCCTTAACTAATTTTAAAAAATTGTGACTAAATTGATGTTACTTACAGCCAAGTTACTTACAAAACCTTTAATATAGTTATATGCACTACAAGAGCTTAATATCTGGGTCTGAGGAGAGTAGCAGGCTCACCTCAAAATAAAACAGTACAGCCCTGTTTTCATTTTATTTAACTTTAAAACAAGCAGGCATTTTCTTGAAAAGCCCTGCCTGGGATGGACAGGAGAGACCAGGAGTCCTGGAACAACGCTGGGTTAAGTGATGGATATCTTGAGGATTATGAAAGTTGGTCCATTAATGATGATTATGGAAGTTGGTCCAACAAGCCATCAGCTAGGAAGGACCCAAGGTAAAATGGCAGCAGTAGCTCATATATAACAAACTCACTGTAAACAGTTTGCGCGCACACACACACACACACACACACACACACTTCCACCAGGGTGCTAGAATGAAAATCACTGATATCAATTCCTTTTTTAGTACATGGATTGTTTCCTACAATTTTTTTTAACCAAACCAGTAATACTTCATAACCTACGCATTTTATTCAGAAGATTGATAAAAAAAAAAAATTGCTTTTGTGTCAGATATTCTGTGAGAAAAAGTGTATGCAAACTGGGAGCAGTACATCAGTTACTAGTGTCGACACTTCGTGACAATGACTTGTACAAGTTATCACCAGTTCCTTGGCCGTGTTACTGACCCAATTACACAAACAGAATTAAAAAAACATATGCAATTCAATAATTTATTCAGCTTCTTACAGCTACTAAGCATCCATACATAACCACAGTAAAACAAACAGTTATGATGCCAAGCCTAATGCAACCAAAACAGATCTTTAAGGGGATAGTTATTTTAATTGAAAAGCTGTGTTTTGTTTTTTAATAGAAAATACAGTTATGGTTCAGTGAAGGCAATATTTTTCGGAAGAGAAATAAAGGGAGTTACTGTATAAATGCCATTTTTTTCTAAAACCAGTGAGGTGAGTCAAGAGCCCAGAAAAAGCATGGAGCCAGTGAAGTGCCATAACACCTCCTTTTGCAGGTAGGGGATTCACCTGGTGGGAAAGGATGGATAAGTGCCTCCAAAGAAGTCAGCAATACCAGGTTTTTGTCTTTTCCCATTGATAAAAAATCTACACTTTGATAATTGCTTTCCCAATGTTTTCTCCCTTGAGCATTCCCATGAAACCTGCTGGCATGTTCTCAAAGCCATTGGTCACGTGTTCATGATATTTCACTTTGCCCTGAAAAAAAATAAAAATAAAAAAGAAGAAGTTTTATTTGGTCATGAAATCATGGAGGAAAAATAAAAAATAAATGTTAAACTTTGGTCTGTTAAATATACCATTGGAAGCATTTTGTTACAAGTGTTCGATAAGTGCAAAAACCCTGTCAATAATGTAAAATTCAGATATTTCCTGTACATTTGTCCTGTATTATCTAAAGCAGTCCAATTAGTATTTACACTGCTTACTTTAGAATGATGTCTAAATTGGCCTTGTATGCATGTGTGATAGGGACCTTAGACTGTAAGCTCCTTGAGGGCAGGGGCTGATGTGAATGTGGAAACTTGTAAAGTTCTGCGTAAAAATTGTATATAAATACCAATAATAATAAAATAACGTAATTTAATATAGGATAGGGGGAAGGGTTTGAGTAGTTTAGCACAAGATAATGTAGCAGGGCTGACACAACTTTTGCTAGGAGTAGAGAAGATTCCTGACACTTGAAATCCTCCCATTCTGCCTTAAACGGCCTTAGTCATAGCTGGCTGCTAAAAAAAAGGCTCCCCTGGTAAAATAAAAGGACTTTTTTTGGAGCATTTAAGTGTTGGGAATATTCTCTGTTTATTAGGTTTAATGAAGTTTCTCAAGTTTATGGTTTACCCCTAGGGGAAAGGCTCATCAGTGCATGGTGTGTGACATGAATGGCACATACCAGGGGTGAGCCTTGTTTGGATTGCATTCAACTTTTTGCTAAACTTGACTCCTAAAATTTTTTAATAAAAAAGGTCCAGAAATGGCTTGCAGTGAGACTTTGCATTAAGCTGCTCAGCAACTTTAATTTGACAACAATGGTTTAAAATACAAAAATTGTTTGGATGAATGCCTTGTCCAGCTGGTTCTATGACTGTGAAGTGTAGTACTGGTCCTATATTGAATGCAAAGTAGCATTTTCGAGGATGGGCTTACCTCTAAAACCCACTGCAGAAGCTGCTTCTGCCCTTCCTCAAATCTGTTCTGCCAGCGAGTCACAATGAACCCTTCCATTCGGAGTTGTTTGAACAGGATATATGGTTGTATGTAAGGTCCTTGAATAAAGAGAAAAACAAACAAACAATATCTTATGCTGGTCACATACAGATGTCTTTTCAGACAACATGGAGTAATAAATGGCTTTCTAGGATTTGTACTTTACGTACGATACGCGTTTTTAAAAAACGCGTCTATACAGTGGCTAATTTTTAATACTTCTAATAAAAAAAGTGAAATTGTAGTTTGACTAGTTAAACTCTTACACCTGTATACCCTTTACGAACCACAACAATCTTTGCAAGAAGGAAGTCATTGTGGGACGGTGAATTTCCCCAGTGGTTTTTTTCCATACGAGGGAAACCAAGCGAGTCCAGAGCTGATTTTCAGGAAGATTTCTGGGTCCGCGTGATCCGGATTGGGGTTTTGTCCCTCACTGGGGACACCAGGGATGGATTGTCCAGTTGAGATAAAAGGGGAAGGCTGGAGCAAGATGGGTGCTCCGGCCCCTGGGACACAGAACGCCTTCTGAGAGCTGCAGTTTGGAAAAACAACTAAATAAAAGGTTGCTGGAAAATATTTTGTATTAGGAGGATGTCCAACATAAAAAAAATTTTAATTTAGATTATATGAACTGAACATGACAAAACCAAAATTGGGGGGGGAACCCCCACCCCCCCCCAAAAAGAAAAAAACCCACACCACGCAAGGGAAACAGAATTAATTAGGATTCAAACGTTAAAAAACACATTTGGAATTTTTTTTTACTGTATATTTTATGCATATAGTAGGGTGCACATCCCTGGTCCTCAACTGGATAAAGTAGATGTAAACCCTCACAGTTTTCTTAAGTACTGTATATAGAAAACTAAATGTGATGGTTTTTGCATTTCCATGCTGCTGATCTCCTGCACCCTCTTTAAGCCATGCCCACTTTGTCTATATGCTCTTACACCAGCATATACACCATTGCTGGTCGGCAGACTTCCAGATGGTGACAATGATGGAATTTTCCTCTATGTAACATCACCTATAGACTTCACCAGAAGCTCATGTACAGGGTGACAATGCAGGAGCATAACTAGGAGACCGGGATATAGCTTGGTTACCTCAAGTGCCTGAACAAGGAGCTTTATGGCAAGGTCACCAGGTTTTAATTTTAATGACAACGGCAGAATTAAACAGATTTAATTTTAAAAGTCATATTATATTAGCATATTAAGAGCAGCTGTCCCACAGCTGGCTTTATACGGAGTGATCATGTAATCACTAAATGTGCAGTTCCTGGTGTCTTCTCCTTGCAGAGGAGTGGTGACCGTCACACTGCTCCCTGCAGAATTTCCCCCTCCCTCTGGTTCTCCAGCGCTCACTGGAGGGACAGGCAGGGAAGTGACAGGCGCGGCTGGCTCTGGTTTGCGAGGCAAAGCCAGCTGTCACTTAAGCTGCATAAACACTAGTAGATTGTTCCCATTCAGCCTTTAGGCTGAACGAAGTTAAACAGCATTGATGAAGCAATCTCCCACTGCAGCAATTGTATTCTGAACGTTTCTCCCCCCCCCCCCCCCTACTATTGCAACTCCCTCCTCATTGGCCTACCTCTACACAGGCCCCTCCCCCCTTCAGTCTATCATGAATGCAGCTGCTAGACTCATCCACCTAACCAACCGCTCAGTGTCTGCAACCTCCCTCTGCCAATCCCTACACTGGCTTCCATCCCCCACCCCCCTCTGTCAACAGTCAAAATACCAGAACAGTGTCTGCATCTGACCAGAGGGCACTGTTTGGCTGCAATTTTTTACCAAGTTCCTTCGATTTGATTTTGCAATCAAAAGGATGTCAGGCAGGAGGTGACAGGCAGCACTACCCACCGAGTGAACTTGTTGACAGCTTAAGACAGCAAGGGTGGATCCCTGCTGACTGCAACCCACTATCTGATGACTTTGGGTCACAGGAGTACATTTAGTAAATGTTTTCCCTTTGACTCAGATAAGTAATGCCCCCCCCAAAAAAGAAGAATTGGCTTTACTTTTGTCATTATAGGAAATTGAAATAAAGGGTAAGCTAAACTGGTATTGACAGTAATAAACCACGTATGAGACAGGGACACAGAGGAACAGTTCAGACAGATCTGGCCTGAATTTTTTCAGCAAGTCAGTAAACAATTACAGTTTAAATACATGAGGGCTTTCTATAGCGAGTACATAGCCCAAGAACATACAAGAGACCCACTTGTCTGCGCTACAACCTAAACCTATATGTCAATGCCTACTTCAATAATCAGAGAAGCGCTGTGCTAATTCACGAATTGATGATTGAATTAGTGAAGGTTCATTCAACCGTTTTAAGTGAGGAGCTGTGATTAGAATACCCAGTATTCTATAAAGATCGAGCGCAGAAGATCTTGTGTAATAAAATTACGTCGATTCCTAACAGAGTGCACTCTAATAGGTACCCCAAAACAAAACAGGTAGCTCTTGTACATTTTAGTGTTCGGTCACCAGTGAGCCTTTTCACCCAGCAGTCAGCTTTCACTACTAAGTGAAAGAGTCTTGAGCACTGTTCAGCTCACATATGAAAAGGCCTGTGGACAGCTTTGGCTAATAAGGTGGTCTGGCTACCAGGCAAGATGTAGACTTATAAATGGAGGCGTTTCCCACCACTACAAAGCCTCCGGGCTCCAGGTCAAACTGTGGAACCCTCTGTATGGGTCTCCTAGATTTCTCATGCACATGTCCAAAATCCTGACAGCCAGTGCCTCACAATACTTAAAGCGTTAGTCTATACAAAGGGAGAATTTCAGGTGTATTGTGGGCTAGGACAACAACTGGCATCTTAGAACTCTTGGAGATTCCAGTGACAAGATTCTGTCAGTTCTGCCCATGTTGGGTCTTCCCACTCCTACAGCAGCATACTTTGTAATATAAAAGATACATTTTAAATATTCATCCAGCCAGACAGGAACCCCCTCATAGTGCCTGCAGCACATGAAGCTCTGGCGTCCAAGAAACTGTAGTTTAAGCCCTCGTTCACACCTGAACGTTTTGTAGCGCGTTCTACGCTCGACGAACGCTCTACAAAACGCTCAAGAATATAAATCCCATTGTATTCAATGGTCTCGTTCCCACCTTGGCGTATTTCTGCCCGTCCCTAACGCGCTACAAAACGGCCCACGCCTGAAGAGGTACATGTACTACTTTGGGCCGTTTTGTTGCGTGTTTCCATTGTGATACAGCCAAGTAGCCGACGGTCGCGCAACTTTTTTACAGCGAATAGAGGTAAAAAACGCGCGACAGACGCGCATATGCAATACGCCTAGGTGTGAACGAGACCTAACTCTCCAGTCCCTAGCAAATGCCAACAAGTGTGAGTCTGGAATGAAGTATGTCCACATCCTTGTAATGTATCCAACCTATGGGGATTTTTTTTTTTTTTTGTCATTGTAAGCAAAGTTACACTTAATATGATTTATAGAATATATGTGTCTGTAGTCCAGGCAATGTTTTAAAAACAGGCCCCGTCATCTACTCTAAAATATGTAAATCACAGTTTTATAAAAAGTAAACTTAAAGGGCGGCAGCACATGACTGCTGTTGTTGAGGTTTTAACAAGAAAATACAAGATTCCTGTTATTAAACACATTTTTTGTGCCAAAATAGAATATTCCATGCAAAATAAGTCCTGTGCAAAATTTGCTTAGAAATACCATTTGTGCACAGTTTTAATATTTTGTAAGAAAACCGTCACCTACCTGAAGGAGGCACTGCATCATTGTACATGGAGATGGCTCCACACACAGCAATTCTTCCAAAATCTTTCATTTGTTGCAAGGCAGCATCTGCAAACTTTCCTCCAACCTACAGCAGAAGACATGATGGATCAGCCTTTACAGGAGGGCAGGAGACACCGGTGTAATAGAACCCAAATGTCTCCCTAAAGACAACCTGTCACCTCTTAATGCGGTCACATAGGGGTTTGTGACTTGGTGATAACAAAAAAGTGAAGAAAAAAAAAAACCCCCACAACCTTGCCACCCCCGCCATCTGATTCTAATGAACATGTGCAGCAAGGCATTTATGTGTACATAAACAGGTAGGGGCTTCTAACAAAAAATAAATAAATAACCGTGCGCTGTACTGCGATCGGCACCTCAGCACTGTGCCTGGCTGGGAACACACACCAACGCAGCCTAAATGGCAGACTGTGGTATGGACATGAACTGAGGGACGGTTCTGTTTGGACAGCGATTCGGGCCTCAACAAAATACCATTCACTGGACCTCCTATAATTTTAACTCACTACCCCTGGTGTAAAATTAACAAACTAGTGCCTTTTTCTTGCTTTGTCCACTAATACAAATCAGTATGTAAAATTTCGTAAAGGAGGAAACCCTCACCCAGACTGCTGCAGGTGGCACACACACCAAGTACACAAACATTATGAGCATGGGGTGGAACCAAACTCAGACAATCCTCATATCGTGGAGTAATTCTCTCCAGGCACACAAGCTCATCAGGGGTAATCAGATGTAGAGGGGTGAAGTATTTATACATAAAGTTTGTGGTGTGTATTAATAAAGCTTATTTATTGTACCCACACACTTTCCTTTTACCAACTCATATTGTATGTTGCATTTGCTTTATTTTATGCTCAATTTCCTCTTAAAACATCCTTAAGATTTTGTGGTTGTTGCAATGCAGCAAAACAATACATGTGATAAGGAAGAAAGACAGTTCTCCAGTCAAGGTATCACCTTAGGTATTTGAACTTGTTGGATTCCCCCATTTTAAATCAATCAACAGCTGCCCTCTTCTGGTCATTTAGATAATTAAACTCCATATCAGTGGTTCTCAGCCTGTGTAACCTCAGGACCCACATTTGTCCTTGGTCATTAAGTCACGACCCAAGTCGCACCGCACAGGAATGCACAGCATTGTGGTAATGCGTGTTCCGGTGCGGATGAGCGAATTGTGGGTGGGAGGTGCATTTGGGGTGCCATTCAAATGAATGGCAACGCAACACACCTCCCACACGAGAATGCACGGTAGGTGCGATTTTGCATGGTGCAGTGCATTAATCGCACAGGACTGTGCGATTAACACACTGTGCTAGTGTGAATGGGCCCACCCAGTGTTCCCACCTTACAAGAACTGGAATGGATACTCAGCCTGGGGTCCAGAGCAGGCTAATGTGCTATGCTCCCATCCATATGTGCATTGCTCGTACAGCTCCCTTGCGTGCCTTGTTTTGTGTTCTGGGAGCCAGAATGCGATGTCACTCCGGCCCATGAACCTCTGTAGGTCACGTGAGCGAGCAATAACAATGCACGTAAGGATGGAGCTTCGTCGCCATAGTCCCATCCCATCCCAAGCGGACACTCGGCATGGGGCAGCATATTTTCAATGGCTGCTCGGTGCCAAAACTGACAGTGCTGCAGTAGGGGTGAGGATGAGGAGCCGCTCGCCTAGAAAAGTGGAAGGCATGAGGTGACGCACTATACATGGGGTCGCGACCCACTTTTGGGTCACGACCCACCAGTTGAGAACCAAAGCTCTATATGAAGCATCAGGGGCCATGCTGATAAAACTATGCAAGACTCAATGCAAACTGAAACCGATCATTTTAGTAATGTTGGCATCTGATGCTTCAAATTAAGTAACAGTTTGTAATAAAATGACCAGCAGATGGCTAGAATAAAGTAAATTACCATTTTTAAACCCAATTTCCTTGCAACATTTCTGTGCCCATTGTACATAAACGTACTTACAAATGCTTTGCCAAGAGAAGTAATGCAACCCTTCAGTAACCCAGAGCAAAAACCATACCGATTTTATATTTCATAGGTTGGATTGATAAAGGATTGTTATTCTCAAAGTAACAATCGTAGCCCTCTGGAGATGCGGTCTTCAATGCTTCATCCAGTGAGCTCACAGTCTTGTAGTCGAAAGCTTCATCAAAACCAATTTCCTTTAAATATGCAACTTTTTCAACTGAGCCAGCAGATCCGACTACTTTACAGCCCTTATAAAAACACAAAAATAAGAATTTAGTCTCATTGTATGATTTTCATTCCATTGATCTCTGCAATGTGCTTCGATTTGGAACTGTGTATTTGGGCATTTTATATCTCGTGTTAGAGCACTGTTAACCACTAGGAATGTAATTCAGGCTCATGGGGACATCTCCTACTAGCTCAGTGTCAATCATTTTTATCCTGACAAGT